GCAAGTGAGCGGTGTGCAAGTGAGCGGTGTCCACTTGCGCCGTGTCCACTTTTCGGTGTGCAACTTTCACCGTGTGCAAGTGAGCGGTGTCCACTTGCGCCGTGTACACTTTTCGGTGTGCAACTTTTACCGTGTGCAAATGAGACCGGTCCATTTGCGCCGTGTTCAACATTATGGTGTGAAACTTTTCTGTGTCCAAAATTTCTGTGTCCAAATGAACCGTGTGCAATATTCCGTGTCTATTTGCACCGTGTCCATTTGCACAGTGTCCACTTGTACTGTGTCCAAGTGAAGGCCACTCCCTGGGATCCCATCCGGTCCCGGAGCCTTGCCCGCCTTTAACTTTTTGGCCGCGGCCGCAAGCTCCGACTCCGAGACCTCCAGTGCCTCTGGGAGTTCCTGGTGCTCCTCCCATTCCTCCTCTTGCTCCTGTTCCCCCGCGTAGTCGTTGCGGGGGAAGAGCGTGGAGACCACCTCGCCGAGGAACGGCGGGTTCAGGGCCTCCACCGTCGGGGGCGCCCCACTGCTCAACCTATTCATCACGAGCTTGTAGGGACGCCCCCACGGGTCTTCGTCCAAGGAGAGGATCATCTCTTCCCACGCCCTCTCCTTGGACTTTTTAACGGCGGCCCTCAGCTCGGCCCGCCGCTCCCGGTATATCTCCTTAAGTTCCTCCAGGTACGCCCCGGAGGAACCAGCCCTTCTCCTCGCCCGTTGCGCGTCTGGCTCGGACGGAGGAGCGCCTTAACTCGGCTATCTCCTCCGTCCACCAGTACGCGCTCTTCCGCGCGGCGTACGTGGCTCGAGGCATGGCTGTCACACGCCTCCGTCATCGTCCTCCTGAGCCACGCAGCCTCCTCCTCGATCCCAAGTGCCTCCGGCCCCCTCGCCCAGTTAGCTGCGACGAGGGATGCCGTGAGGCGATCGTGGTCAATTTTGCGAACCGCCCATTTTAAGGGACGGCCGCTGCTAGTCCGCTCATTGGGAGCTCGCTGGAGCTCCACCTCGATTGGCAGGTGGTCGGACAGGAGTTCCAGCTCCTCCGCCACCCGCCAAGAAGTAACCCATCCAGAGGCCGCAGGTGAGGACCATGTCAGATCAATGATCGACTCACCCTGCGGCCTCACACAGGTGCTTGTGGTTCCCGTGTTTAGGAGGTGAAGCCCCAGCCGAGACGCCCACTCCACTACGTCCCCGCCCTTCGCGTCCGGCCGCCGGGAACCCCAAAGCGCCGACTTGGCGTTGAAGTCCCCAGCGACCAGCAGCGGGGCGGGTATATGGCCTTGGATCCAGGCCTCCAATTCGTGGAGCCTGTCTTCCGCCTCTGCTCGGGAGAGGCTGGGCCGCAAGTAGAGTCCCACTATAATTAGTGGGCCCCACTCCACGGCGACCCATCCCTCGCCTCCATCAATCCTGGAGGCGGGGACTTGACTCTCCCCCACTCTTCTCCAAGTGATAGCGACCGAGCCATCGTCGCTGCCCGCCCAACACGGGTGGCGAGGGACTCTATTTGGCTCGGTCGCTATCCCTAAGGCGCAACCACCCTCCGCCAGGCCATGGAGGAACATGTCCTGGACCGGGCGGGAGCGGTTGAGGTTCGCCTGCAACAATTTTAACATGTTGAAGGCGACGGCTTTTCGGCCTCCTCCTGGCCTTCTCCTCCTCCGTGCGCTGCTGTGGTACCTTCCTTAGAGCGCAGGGGCTCCACCTCCATCGCCTGGTCGGCTTTGGAGACGGTCGCCCCGCCCTTCTTGTTCGCCTCCTTGTCTTTCTTCTGTGCCTCCCCCTGCTTGGACCTTTTTATGTCCTTTTTTTACGGGGGGGACATGCAGCACCTCCCGCCTCGTGTTTGGCCGGGAGTCCTCGGGCAGTGCACACAGAGCACTTGGGCTCTTCCGTGCACCCTTGCGCTCTGTGCCCCTCCCGGCCACACCTGTAACAGGTGTTGCTCCTATCGATGGGGTTCCGGCACTGCTGCCTAACGTGCCCCCGCTCGAGACAGCGGAAGCACACCAATGGGCGGGCGTCGAGCAATTCGACTCTTGCCGACGCCCAGCCCACCCTAATCCTTCCTTTGTCGGCGACCCTCTTGACCACCGCCAGCGGATATTGCACCCACACAGTTACCATTCCGCCAGGAGCCTTCCTGAGCTGGCCGACTTTAATTTCGGCCAGGTCGCATTCCCCCGACCGAGCCACCGCCTCCTGGATCTCTCTGTCGGTAACAGACTCGTCGAGATCCTTGATGCGGATCTCTCCGAGCTTCGTCGGCCTCGAGATCCGCACCCCCTCCTTGTTAGCGACGGCTTTGCGGATATGGTCCGCAAGCGCATCTGCTTTTTGAGAGCTGTTCGCTCCCTTGACTTCCAGAATGAGGGCCCCCGTGAGGGCCTTTCTTTGTTTCAGGGGCCCAATCCCTAGAGCGTCCAGGTCCACCTTGGACCTTATCTCACGCATCCCCTGGGCATATTCGCCCGCGGGGAAGGTGATCGACACCGCTTCAGACCTCGGGGCTCTGCGCTTCTGGCTGGCGGATTGTTGTCCTTTCGCCTGTTGCGCAGGCCCCGATTTCATCCCCTCGCTTTTATTGGCGCCACTGGAGCCCTTGCCACTTTTGCTCGTGGCAGGCTGGGCTCTCGTGGCGCTACCGGTGGCTGCTGGCTTCTTATCTGCCTTCTTCTTAGCAGCCTCAGCGTAGGTCCCCTTATGTTGGGGAGGCTCCGCCGCGGGTTGCCTCCCCTTCAAAGGTTCCCTAGTTGCCTGAACGTTCCTTGAAGGGTCCTGTCCCGAGGAGTCCCTCCTTGGACGGCTATATGTCCGCTGTTGGGACTTCGGCTTCTTCTGGCTCCCCTTCGTGGCCAGTCCTTCCTTCTTGGCCGCTATTCTGCTCCCGAGTTTGCCCTTTCCGTCTTTGTTGGCGGGTTGGGTCTCTCCGCGGGTAGCAGTTCTCCCCGCCTTCTCAAGTGCGGGGGTTTCCTCCTCTCCTTGGTTCGGGGTTGTTTGCCGGAAGTCTGGCCATGGCCCCCTGGCATCTCAGGATGACGTCTTCAATCTTGCGGCGTGCAGATGTTGCGTCCTCCTCCTCCGTTATTGCAGTGATGGAGATGCCCTCCATCACTTGCCGCACTCCCTCCATCACGTCCTCCTTACTTTCCTCCAGGGGTTTTTTACGCCCCCGGAGATCAGGGCGGAGTACCGTAACCTCCCCTTTGAAGGTCTCCATCTTTCTTATCACCGGCTTGGTGATGGTGGTAGGTGGGGAAGGGGGAGGGGTTGTTCCCCTCTCGTACAGGGACAGGTCCATATCTTCATCCCTGTCTCTGGGTTTGGTCCTGTCCGTGACCGTCTCTTTTTTTGTGTTCCTCAGGGAGGTTAGTTGATCTTCGAGATCCCGGATCTTCTCCCTGAGTCTTTTAGTCTCCTCGTCCCCGGTGAGTTCCGGGACAGTGGCCTTTGTTGTGAAGGCCGATACTGCCGCTCTGAGGGTGTTTACGGAGATTTTAAGCTCCTTAACAAACGTCCCCTTCAAGTTTTTTGACCTTCTCGCGACTTTTTCGACAACGTTGATACTATCAATCATGTCCGCTGCAAGTCTTTCAGGGGGAAAGTCAACAAACTGGCGCCTCAATTCTATCTCCGGAATTGTTTCCCGCATATTAGGCCGCGGGAGAACTCTGGGGTCTAGGATCTCTTAGAGAGCTCGCTTCTCCGCTTTTAATTTGCGGATCTCTCTCTTGTGTTCCATTTTCTTTCGGGCCATCAAGTAATCGCCCGTAGTAGGAGGCCTTCCTCTCTTCTTCATTTTTATCGGGACATAGTCCTCGCTGTCAGAGGTCGTTTCATCCTCTGACACATCGTCTAGGTTGACGTCGACCTCTGGGTCGGTTCCTTCAAGGGCCACTCGGTCGTCGAGGTTCGGGCGGTAAGCGGCAGTCCTCTTCTTCACCGCTTTCTTTGAAGAGGCCGGTCCTGGCCTGGCCCTCCCTCTTTTGAGCGGGATCTTCTGATCTGTCGCCTGCGTACCAGCGGCTGACGTGCTGGCCACCGGTTCTTGAACGTCTCGCAGGGGATTGTTGTCCTCCTGCAGAGAGCTCTTAATCTCCTCGCGTCTTAAAATTATTACAGGTTTTTTGTGTGAGGTTAAAGACATTATGGCAGATATTTACTTCTTCGGGTTCGGCCATTATGGCACCTCCACCGCAGTGGAGGATCTTCCCCCGGTAAGATAGACCCTAATTATGGGACGGGCAGCGGAGAAGCCGTTTTCGGGGAGCCACCCCTAGCCCGTCCAACGACTCAAATAAAAAGGGTTCTTGGAGACGGCCAAGTCCACTCTGATGTAAAAGGTTTATACTCACCCCAGGTGCGACGCGCACCGACCCGATCGGCCGCTTACCTCGCCCCCGGACTAGAGTGCGCGAAGGAACTCTCCCCCCCCCTCACAAGGGGTACGAGGGGTCGAAGGCTACTCGGCCCCTCCATACACACGCCCGGCATACCGGCTTCAACTCCCTGATTGGCTCCAGACGGACGAACGGGAGCGGTTTTCCCACATTGAACATGCCGCTTCCTGCGAACTTTGCCAGAGACTCTGGGCTTATGTTCTCGCGTAGTCCACGGCAGAGGTCAGGTACAGACGTCACCGCTCGTCCCCGGTCGGGGGGTTTACTATTCCCCCCTTGGTTAGTCTCAGGGAAATATCCACCGGCAGCCGACCGCGTCCCAAATACACACACACACACAACCGATCCTCCGCCTTCCACGACCAGCCCCGTGCGCCAGGCCGCACGCCCCAGCAGCAGGACGTCAGCCCCATGATGGAAGGATACAAGGTGAAGCATTGCGCATAATGGCGACTTGTGGGAGGGGGGACCGAATCAAATTTCACCCATTTGGTAATGCGCGTATTTCAAACGTGAATAACTATCAAAAATAAAAACGCAGTATTTTAGAAGTAGAAACATGTATATTTATAAATATTAATATAAACTAATATTGCTCTACTAAAAACTAATAAACAATAATACAATATAGGAACTCTAAGACAAAGAAACTTGTAAATAAATAAAAATACAACAAATAAATATATAGAGCTAAATAACAATATTGCACATATGCTTCTTTTTCTTTTTGTTTGTACTGTTATTTATTTTTATTTCATTA